GGGGTCGTGTTGTGTGGTCATAAATTTGTTAGTTTCATGTGGGTAGGTGTGGGTATAGGGTTCTCGTAGGTAGGACATCTGAATTGCATTGAATTGCATTAATGTGAACAATATGCAATTGAATTGTATTTTTCTAGTGAGGTTGTTACACAAGATATGCAATCTCACACATTGATTAGTTACACTGTATCCCATCACCTTATAGGCTTATACACGCTACATAAATTGATCAGTTACAATGTATGCCATTAGGGGTGTCAATGGACCAATTTTCGGTTGGACCCGTCTAAACCAAAATTAATTTGGATGGATTGAATGGACCAACAAGACATGTTGAATTGGACCAGTCCAGACTTGATGGTCAAAAGTATTTATTAAGTTGGTTTGAGATAATATCCAATCCATTGATAGAAGATAAGAATATAGGTGTCAATGGACCAGGTTTGGATTGAAATTAATCTAAATTAAAACAAATTTGAACAAAATAAAAATTGAATTGGACCGGTCCAAAATAGTTCAAGATATTCATTGGATTGGACCTGGTCCATTTGTAATGGACCCAAATCCAGCCCAGCCCAGCCCAGTTGACACCCCTATTCCCATCACTTTATAGGTGGGCCCATTTATGCAACCCCACACAAATTGATCAGTTACAATGTATCCCATCACCATATATTAACGAAGCTGGTTCCTGGTCGTTGAATTTCACTTTTTATGTTAAAATATAAATTCTCATTAAAGAATTGTAAGGACAACTTTATCAACTATAAATAATCTCACCAAAAAAGCTGGATTCAGCATAGCATCGTTGATTCCTTGACAAATTCGTATCTTACTGTTCTATCCACAATTACTCGATCCATGGCAACCCCCATGACAGTCCGTCATATCTCAAGGTGCATCATCAAACCGAAATGCCTTCCAGAAGAATCAAAACAGATTTATCACTTAAACCCATGGGATATCTCACTGCTCTCCGTTCACTACATCCAAGCTGGTCTTCTTTTCCCCAAACCTACTCCTGTTTCCATCAACCAAGAAGACCACCGCCATGGCATCCCCGCTATTATTGACCAGCTTAAGGATTCCCTTTCTCGCACCCTTGTTCACTTCATTCCCCTTACCGGCCGTTTCATCACACAGAAAAGCAACAACCCACATTCTTACTCAATTTCTGTAGACTGCAGAGACGCTCCAGGGGCTGAATTCATCCATGCTGTAGCAGACCTGAAGATAGCTGATGTTCTCTCTCCAATTGACGTGCCCCCTATCGTCCATTCCTTCTTTGCCTTCAATGGAGTTGTCAACCATGATGGCCACACCATGCCTTTACTAGCTGTTCAAGTCACAGAATTACTAGATGGAATCTTCATGGGTTGCTCCTTTAACCACGCCATTGGTGACGGCGCTTCCTTCTGGCATTTCATTAATACTTGGTCTGAACTCTGTAGAGAAAAAGTAAAAGATAAGCGTATCTCACTCCCACCAATAATACTTGAGCGTTGGTTTCCAAATGGCCATGGTCCGATTGTAAATCTACCATTCTCTGACCACTCAGAGTTCATCATCGAGGGATACAATCCACCCAAGCTCAGAGAGAGGTTCTTCCATTTCTCAGCACAAACCATGGCAAGACTCAAAGCAAAGGCCAATGCAGAGTGCAATATAACCACCATCTCCTCACTTCAGGCGTTGTCAGCCTTGCTCTGGAGGGCTACCACACAAGCGCGTCGGTTAGACGTTAATCAGACAACGAATTGCACCTTTGTCATCAGCAACAGGCCAAGATTGAATCCACCATTATCTCCAAACTACTTTGGAACTGCAATTCAGGCAGTGAGTGGGACAACAACAGTGGGAGAACTACTAAGCCGTGGTCTTGGGTGGGCAGCATTAATATTGCATCAAGCTGTGGCCAGACACACAGACAGTGTGGTGCGCGAGCAGATGGAAGCAAATATGGTAGCTCCCTTCATTTACTATCTTAGGGAGTCATTCGATCCATGTAGTGTGATGGTTGCCAGTTCGCCAAGATTTGACATGTATGGGAATGATTTTGGGTGGGGAGAACCAATGGCTGTGCGCTGTGGGCCTGCTAACAAGTTTGGTGGGATGGTGTTTGCACACCCCGGGAAAGAAGGGGGTGGGAGTGTGGATTTGGAGGTGTGCCTTCCGCCTGAGGAAATGGGTGCCCTTGAGTCCATTGAAGAGTTTATGGAGGCAGTCTCTCCATTAATTCCACTATCACACTCCACAACCAAGATTCATCAGTCTGCATTGCCTTAAGTCCTTGACCTGGACGGATGGAGTCTCTTCCTCTTCCTACCACTAGATATATAGATGCATTTAGTTATTTAGCATTATATTATATTGTTTTGCTTGCTTGTGCTGAGAAAATAAAAAGTAGTGCACTCTTCTGGGTATTGCAAATTGTTTGCATTGGTGTGATTTTTTGTGGAAGCAATTATTCCATAATATTACTAATGTTTGAATGAGGAAGCTCCCCATGTTGGTAAAATGATTCAGCAGTGAAGAATAAATTCCAATCAATTTTTATTGGGAAAAAAAATTGTTGCATCGGATGTGATTTTGTTTATAAAATTATAATAATCTTGATATCTCATGAAACCTCATTAAGAAGTTCAATCATTAGTAAGTCAACAGTAGTTTGGGACAACACCCAAATGTATTATGATTTTATAGGCTTTTTGGAGGTTTATTGTCTACAAGATCAAATATATAGGAAGGTAGAATAAATATAAACATCTAAATGACAATACTTAAGTGATTATTTCCAATGTTAATTTGCTTTTACATAGAAGTGATACTTAGACCTCTTAATCCTTGTGTATGTATTTACATTTAAATAGGGAGATTGTTCAAAATCTTGTCATATTTCTGAAATCAGGTATAAGTGGTTATTAAATCATTTACTGATTTTATTTTGTAGATTAGTTTATAATTAACATACAATTATATTTTATATCATCATCATCATCACCACCTAAACCTTATTCCAACTATACACACAAATAGAACCGGATACAAACCTAACTTGTGGAACATGGAATATGCTAATGGAATCAAGTCATGAATATTCATTTCTACAAGGTGTTGTTTCATAAAATATACAACCTTTGAAGAATAGCTGACTGGACCATTAGAACTTTGCATAATCAATATATTTTGCCTGGGGTGAGTGAGTTATTTTGCTACCATGTGCCTTAGTAGTTTTTTAATAGAAGAAATTAATTAATTTCCTAATTACATATATATTATTCATTTTTTGCTCTCCCAATTGTTCTGTATTGCTCGCCCGTGCTTCCAGTAGGTGAGTCTTCAGATTCACCATATGTTTGGCACCTTTTTTATTTTATTTTTTTGGTAAAAACGTGTTTTGTACCTTAGTTCACGCAGTTTTGAATGACATAATGCTTATAATACTCTCTTCCTTTCAACGCCACCTTTTAATTTCTTGTCATAATTAAAACTTGCGGAGGGGCCCTGCTTTGCAGGGGTTGGAATGGAACCGCCGACCCGTTGACCCGTTGACCCAGTCCCTGGCCAAAAACAGAATCGGTCAATGACCCATTGACCTAAGTGGTCGAACCATCCACCTGTTGACCCGTCCAATGGCTTTTGGCCATTTTTTATTTTTTCTTAATTGGGAACCATCTAGGCAACTGGCTTCATTTTATCCTAATCTCAGTCCCTGGCCAAAAGTCGTTGAATCGGTCAACGACCCATTGACCCGGTCGGGCGGTCGAACCATTGACCCGTTCAATGGTTTTTGGTCATTTTTTTATTTTTTAATTTTTGTTGTCAAAACGGGCCATCCGTTTGAACCAACAGTAGAACCGTCAACCTGAAAACCGATGGCCAGAAAAGTTTCGTTTTCAGGTCGCATGAGTCACACATTCGAATGACATAACACATATGGTACTACTTAATGGACTTCGCACACTCAATTTTTTTCCTATAATTTTTGTTGTCATAACAGGTCATCCGTTTTTTTATTTTTTTTAATTGGGAACCATATCCAGGCAACCAGTTCCATTTTACCCCAATCTTGGTCCTTGGCCAAAAACCATTGAATCGGTCAATGACCCATTGACCTGAGTGGTCAAACCGTCAACTCATTGACACGGTCAATGGTTTTTGGCCATTTTATTATTTTTTTTTAAATTTTGTTGTCAAAATGGGTCGTCCATTCGAATTAGGCGGTCAAACCGTCGACCCAAAAACCGGTGGGCAGAACGGTTCTATTTTCAAGTCATATGAGTCACATGCAAGAATGACATAACATCATGGTTTTTAAAACCAACCTAGAGACTGAACCGGTCCGGGGTCTAGTTACCAGGTCGAACGGTCTGACCGTTCGAACCGAACGGTTGGCTCATTCTAACAAAAAATATAAAAAATTAAAAAAAATAAAAACCGGTCAAAATCGTCAATGACCCATTGACCCGGGCAATTGAACCATTGGCCTGTTAAATGGTTTTTGGTCATTTTTTTATTTTTTAATTTTTGTTGTCAGAATGAGCCATCCGTTCGAACCGAACAGTCAAACAGTCAACCCGAAAACCAGTGGTCAGAATGGTTTTGTTTTCAGGTCAAATGAGTCACACGTTTGAATGACATAACACATATGGTACTGCTTAATGGACCTCACACACTCAATTTTTTGCCTGTTATTTTTGTTGTCAAAATGGGCCATCCGTTTTTTTATTTTTTTTTAATTGGGAACCGTCTAGGCAACTAGTTTCATTTTACCCCAATCCCGGTCCCTGGCCAAAAACCGTTGAATCAGTCAACGACCCATTGACCCAAGTGGTCGAACCGTCAACCCATGGACCCATTCGATGGTTTTTGGCCATTTTTTTATTTTTTTAAGTTTTGTTGTCAAAACGGGTCGTCCGTTCGAATTGGACGGTCGAACCGTCGACCCAAAAATTGGTGGCCAGAACCATTCCATTTTTGGGTCGTATGAGTCACACACTCGAATGACATAACATCATGGTTTTTAAAACCGACCCGGAGACCAAACCGGTCAGGGGTCCACTTACCGGGTCGAACGGTCTAACCATTTGAACCGAATGGTTGGCCCATTCTAACAAAAATTACAAAAATAAAAAAGTGGTCAAAACCATTTGAACGGTTCGATATCTATTTATTAACAATATCTATAATAACTATTATATATTTATATAATTAGATAATTATATATATCTATTGAAGCTTGGATGATTTTTGTGATTATTTTAGAATAGTTATGTTATGTTAGGATTTATTTAAGTAGTGGGGACCACAATAGTTATGTGAATCCCAATCTTATTATGTTTTTGAGTCCTATTCAAACTATTATATTTGTTATTATAAATAACAAGTGAAGGGGGCAGCCAGAATATTGCTCTCCTACTTCTCAAAATCTTTTCTTCTCTTCTTCTCTTTCTCTCTTCCTTCTCTTTTCAAGAAAACACTCTTTTCTTTTATATATTTTTTTATTTCAGCAGATTTCTACTTGGTATCAGAGCAAGGTTTAGAGTTCTTAAAGCATTCTCATGCAGCCATAGATCGGCTGATTGCATGAAGTAAGAAGAGGTCGACCGATTTTCTTTTGATTGCCCAGTTCTTGGATTTTTTGGTGAGATCATTAGGAAGGTAATCTTCGTATTGGCATCAAAATCAGGAGGAACTAGAGTACGGGGAAGAATCCTAGAAAAGTTGGACTCTCTGTTCTTGATTTGATCTTCGACGCATAGGTATCTTTTGATTTCTTTTATTATTCTATAGAGGGCGGTTAGCTTTTTGGACCTTTCTAGGCCTTCTGGAGTGGTTGTTTCAGTCTTCTCTTTGTTGGGAGACACTGGGAGGAGAGAGATTTCTTTCCGATTAGGGTTTTTCTTTTCCTGGAAGGGTTTGTTTCTGTGCATGTGTCTTAAAATTGTTCCTAGAAGCTCTCAACTTTCTTCTTTCATTCTATTAAACTGTTTGAAGTAAGATGGAGAATTGGAATACCAAGTTGAAATCCACTGGTACCATGGGATTGGGTGTTGGAAGTGGTAATGATATTTTTGGGTTTGGAATTATTACTACAGCAAAACTAGATGGAACAAACTATTTAGAATGGGCACAATATACCAAGATGGCCATTGGTGCCTACAGAAAGTTAAGGTACATCACTATGGAAGAAAGGAAACTAGATATAGATTCCTCTTGGTGGGTACAAGAGAATTACATGGTGATGTCCTATCTGTGTAATTCTATGCTACCTCACATTGGAAAAAAAATATTTGTGGGCTAATATTGCTAAGGAGATTTAGGATGGAGTAATAGAAACCTATTCTCAGAAATAGAATGTAGCCAGATCTTATCAGCTAATAAATCAGGTGATTAGTATAAAATAGGGAGATAAACCTCTTGCTATGTATTTCTCCATGTTGAAAATCCTTTGGCAGGAAATAGACCACTTAGAAACTGTGATGTGGGAAAGTGTCAATGATGCAACAACCTACCAAAAACCGGTAGAGAAAAATAGGGTTTTTGAGTTCTTAGCAGGGCTAAACCCTGAATTCGACATTGCAAGGCAACATACCTTCTCTAGGGAGAGTGTGACACTCTCTCAAGCCTATGCCTTTGTTTCTAGAAAGGAAACCAGGAGGAGTGTCATGTTGAGATAGCCTGGATTTGACCAGTTGGCTATGGTTAATACATCCAAACCTAAGCCATATGGAGATAGGGAGAGCAGTGAAACTAAGAGGGAGGATAAGAAGGACTTGGTGTGTGATTACTATAAGAAGTCTAAGCATACCAGAGATATTTGTTGGAAACTCCATCCACATCTTATGCCTGCTCGAATCAAGAACAAAAAGGGAAATACAAATGTGGCCACTACAGGAGACACTTCGGCCTCTCTTTCCCAAACTAATTGGGAATCCATTGCATTAGCAGCTGTGAAAACAAAATTGAAAAGGTTTGGACAGCCCATGAGTAAAAAATAGACAACTAGTTCTAGCCTTCCAGATGGACAACAGAGTACAGGATCCAACTACACCACAGCTTTGGCACATACAGGTAATTCATATGCAACTGCAAACCTTGCATCCACTTCAGTTAAGGAATGACCCCCCCCCCTAGATTATAAACTCAAGAGCATTTGAGCACATGACTAATGCCCCTACCCTCTTCAGTTCTTATCAATTGTGCTCTGGTAGAGATAAAGTCTCTACAGCAGGTGGCTCTCATATTCCCATTGCTGGGAAGGGAACAGTTAGAGTGACCAATGA